TTCACGTTTTTCATTACCAGTGCACAAAACAAGAAGGAAAAAGTGGACTTCAAGTGTTGTGTTTAAGGCACAGTGGAACATGGCAACTTTTGTTACTAAATGACAGAGCAGTGTTCAACACAGAGGGCACTATGTTGGTAGTTGTCTTCAAGAGTTGATTGATTTTGAGGTTTCTTTCCTGTCCCTATGAAGTTAGTGACTGGCTTTCCCATTTGCTTAACAAATGTCAACGGAATCTGGATTGGAATTATATATCTATAGATGACTAGGTAGAGACATTTTCACAATGCTACCTTTTTATCCATGAGCCTGGTATGTTCTTCCATTTATAAAGGTCTCTTAGTTTCTTCTATTAGTGTTTTGCATTAAAAAAAAGTCTTTTGTATCTATGGTTAGGTTTATTGTGAACTATTTTGTCTTTTTTGAAAGCTATTGCAAATGCTATTGTTTTATTTCCTATGTTGGTATAGAGAATGTGATTGATTTTTGAATGCTAATCTTGTACCTTGCCACTTTGCTGAATCTTCCAATTAGTTTTTGTGCTGAGTCGCATATTTTCTAGGGATAGTATGTTATCAGCAAATGTAGTCTTACTTTGTATCCATTTGGATGCCCTTACATCTGTTTAGCCTTGATGCCCTGGTTACAACTTCCAATACAAGTTTAAAAGGATTTGTGATAGAGGGCACCCTTACTTTTTCTTGTCCACATGGAGAATGCGTCCGTCCACTCTCTCTCGACTAAGACTAGTGGCTGTTCATTTTGTGTCTATTCCCTTATGCTGAGAAACCTCCCTTCAATTTCTATTTTGTGGAGAGTCTTTATTAGGAATGGGTTTGGACTTTATCAAAGGCTTTTTCTATATAGATGACATGTGGCTCTTTTATTTGTGTTGAGGATACACTGATGGTTTTTCTAATGCTGAGCTCTGCTTGCATAACTTCTATGAATCCCACTTAGTCTTGCTGCATTATCTTTGATATGGTGTTATATTCTACTGTCTGTGGCTTGCTGAGGATTATTTTTGCCTGTGTTCATGAGGGACACTGGTCTGTAGTTTTCTCTTTCTAATTCTATCTTTGCTTGGCTTTGGTGTCAGGGTTATGTTTGCATCAGACAATTAATTTGTGTGGTAGTTACACAATCTGTTGTCAATTTGAGACTTAAGAGTGGAGGGGTGGGGGTTAGCTGTTAATCAGGTCACAGCTTGATGACCTCATCTGGAGGTGCTAAGGAGATAAATAGCTCCCTGGGGGTGGGGCACATATTCACTCCTTGTGATACATTCCTGTTGAGAAGACACATGGAGCTTACACTAGAGCATTGGAGCTGAAGGAGCCACGTGGAGACCCCTGCCAGTGCTGAGATGCTTACAATGCCACTGGACCCACAAGACGTTCCACCCACTGGCCTGTGACCTTCCTGCATTCAGCACCACTGCATGTGTTTTGTGAGTCTGAAGAGGAATTTAGAGATTGGTATTGGACATATGGGCTAATATCAGACTTATGGACTTGATCTGGACTGGGCTGGGATGTTTGCTTAATGTACAATTACTTTTTATATAAAGCTCTTTCTATACATATGGATGTCTCTGGATTTGTTTCTCTAGTCATCCCAAACTAACACAATTTGGAGCATACTACATTAAGTAAAATATTTTAATCACAAAAAGGACAAATACTGCATAAGTCTGCTATTATCAAAAGTCAAGGAAAGGTTTATACACATTTGAAAAAACAAAAAAACTCAACATTATTTGATGGTTACCAGGGATTAGAGGGAGGAAAGTGGAGGTGAAATAACTAGAAAATAGCCACATATTAATCTAGATGAAGGGAAAGACCACCTATAACAGGGACATACTGCAGAGAATCACGCATAAAGAAGGAAACCATGGGGAGGTACAAAGAAGTTAGAAAACCATGGCAAATACTATGACATACACAACCCTGCAGTATCAAATAGTAATCTACAAATGAACACACAGATAGGCAAGTTTTTGAAAAATGTTAAAAAAAGAAAATTGTCAGTTCCAACTCACGGCAAGCCTGTAGCTCCTCTAAAATAATAGTATATTTGACAACATTGCCAGACTAAGCACTCATCACATTATTTTCCATTCACAGGATGCAGTGGCCAGAAAAAATTAGAAAATTTAAACTAAGGTATCTCATCACGGCAGAATATCTTTACCAAATTAGAAAATTAAAATAAAGTTAAGGCCAAAAGAAGTTTCTAAGTGGTTCATTTGGTAGTCAAGCCAAGAAAAAACATTTTAATCAGTGGAAAGCTAATTACATTGTTTAGTTTCAACAACTTTAGAAATGGGTTCAGAATAAACAAACGTGTTGAAGACATCAATTCTACAATAAAAGGGGGGGAGTGATTTAGAATGGTTTTCCTTGACTCTTGTGACTCAACAGATGTTAGTGATACTGCTCAGTAATTATTTATTTGATGAATCAATTCTGAATTTGAAGTGACTGAAGAGTTGGCCTGTGAATACTCAGTGTGGAACAACTACAGGTAAGCATATTTTCAAAGTAGCAGGAAAATAAGATTTCAGTACAATATGAAGTAGAATCTGCTAAGATGTGTTACAACTGAGGGTGACAATAATATGTGTAGAAAAACAAACAAACCACTTGGTGAAATTTACAAAGCTTGTGAAAAAACTACAAGCTATCTAAGGCCTGTGGCTATTTACTATATTGTTCATCAGCTGGTACTTTATAGAATATATTTGACTCATCTTGTGTTATTGAATGAAAAATGTCAACAAGGAACTCTTGTTAGACATAAAAGTTGAATGTCCTTCCCCATTCCTACTGTGGCTGCTTTTTAATTATTTACACTGTTAGGGGACAAAATAAAAATATAGAAATGAAATTAACACTGCATAGAGAAGCCTTAGCTCTTTCCCACTAGTAAAATTTTAAAACATCTGTTTAACAGGAAATTATTTCATTTAGTTGTTTACCTTTTGTTCTTGACTATGCTCATATTTTATATTTTTTTCAGTTTTATTGGCATTTCATTTACATGTCATACAATTCAATAATCCAATCATCAAGCGTTGCACAATTATCACCACAATCAATTCTAGAACATTTTTTCTTCCTTGTACTCAATTGTTACTCATGTAATTTTTTTAAATTGTGGCAAACATATACACAAAACATTCTCCAGGCCAACAACATCTACGTGTATAATTCAGTGCCAATGTTTAAACTCTGTGCTGTACATCCACTATGACATCCTTTACAAATTATCCCACCACCATTAAGATAAACTCAATGCCCCCTAAGCAACTCTTCCTCCTTCACCGGTGGCAACCATCGATGAAGTTTGTTTTGTTTTCAGTTTTCTGATGTAGTATTCACTTATCATACACTTAAATTGCTTTTAAAAATGAATTGTATACACATCACCACAATCAGTTCTAATATGCCCTGCCTCCTCCTGAGTTGCTTGCTCCTCAAATCCCTTCACCTTCCCTGCTCCCCACTCCCCCGTGTTCCCCGATAAGCCAGTGCACCAGTGATTGTCACTATGAAGCTCTCCTGTGCTTCACAAACTGGGAGACTCAACAGAAACAATAAAAACAAAATAAAAATAAAAATGGCAAGAAGAAAACAGTATTAATAACATAAAGATAAAATAAAAATAAAGAGTAAGAAAAAGACTACCACCAATATTAAAAACGTCAGAAAAGAAATGTATGTTGTGGGACAAGTGACAAATAGTTGAGGGTGGAGCAAATTCAGGTTGGGTCAAGAGGGAGGTCATCTGACCAAGTATCTTATTATAGTGTAGTTCCCACCATAATCAAGTTTACAATCATCTCTGATGCTAAAGCTGTTTGAGTCCCTCGACTGTGGCTAGAGGGGATCAGCCGAGGCTTCATCTAACAAGACACTCTGCAGATGGATTTCGGGCTCCCAATGCCCGCCATTGTCTTCTACAACAGGCTCTGAGACTTTTCCTTTCATCATATTTGGATTTTGTTATTGTTATCTTTAAATGTGGATTTAGCTGATGACTCACTTAGATGGCTGCTTGTTTGAATACAAGCCTTTAAGACCCGAGACATTATTACAATTGATAGCCGTGCACCATCTGCTTTCTTTATCGCATTTGCTGTAGCACCTATCTTCGGTGATCTCTTCATGAAGGTGAGTACTGAGCAGGGCCATGTTAGAAGAACTAACGGTGCTTGGATTGGGGCGGGAATTAAGTGGGATCTGAGAGTCCACATCCTTGTCCACGGGTTATGAAGGACTCGGGCTGACTCTAACGGTCCTCCATGCTGAGAACTCTGTGGTCTGGAAGTATAGGGCATCCCTCTTCATGGCTCCTCTTCT